GTCCGCGGCTTCAAAATGGGCGCCGGAACAGCCGAAAGGGCTGGGTGCAGCGTTTTCGCTCCCTTGGTAAGCAAGGGGAGGGCGCGAAAACGCTGCCGGAACAGCCGAAATGGCTGCGCTCAGCGTTTTCGCGCTCTCCCCTTGCTTACCAAGCGCGCGAAAACGCTGCGCCCGGCCCTTTCGGCTGTTCCGGCGGCCATTTTGAAGCCGCGGAACAGCTGATCGCAGCCATTTTCATGCCCTCGTTCAGCGAGGGGAGGGCGCGAAAATGGCTGCCAGACCCCGGAAGCATCGCTGAATGGTGAGTTTTCAGCCGATTTGGAACGCATTAAACATGGGCTTTTCTGCCCCGCTCAGCGATGTTTCCGGGACGGATTAACCTCGCTGTGCGAGGCACCACTGTACTAAGGTGTTGTGAAAAATTGCCTTAATTCCTGCCTCTGAAATCTAGAGTAAAGCCCCTTTGCTCTATAACCTGTCATCCCTCTGAAGCTCAAATCTGTGCTGCAGATTTCTCCTACCCGGTTTGATATTCTACCAGCACGTGGAACATTTTCAGCTCTTATCTCCATTCAGTGACCGAAGATAAGAGTCTATTTTGAAGGCAATGAGTAGAAGAACGGAGGTTTGGCTTACAGTCAGAGAAGCAAAGATAATCTGCTTGCTCCGTTGCTTCTTCCATCCTAGTACCTTAATTTGCACTGTTCGAAGATGTTCAGAAGAGTCGCAAAGTCATTGCATCCTCCCACTTGCGCAGCGAGCTTTCTGTGCCGCAGCTCGGCTTCCTTCTGTTTTTCAGGATCGCCTACGGAGAACACAAAGCTTGGGATTTTTGGAAGAAAACCTTTCTCAAAAGGTCTCACTGCAGTTCAAGTAGAACTTCTGAGGGCAGCGTCCATTCCTCAAAAACATTCAATCTATAAATATGTACTAGAATTTAAAGGAAGCTATGGGAAAAAGATAGCCTCCAAAATGAGGACCGGAACAGACTTCAAACCATAGTTTCCCATTCAGGTTAGCAGGTAAACTATGGTTTAGAGAGACAGAGGGACGGGAGATTCTGTACCACTGAGATAATATGTGTCTGAATGAATCAAATTTTAGCTGCAAAACTCATTGTCCTAAAACTGGTGCTTCTGTGCGTATGCAGAGTGACTTTTCATAAACTGCTTAGTTTGGTACCGCTGTGCTTCTGGCTGAAGAGTACACTAGCTTGTGGACAAGAGAATACACCAGACCTGCTCTGGGGGAATGCCTAACACCGATAAATGATTAAATATATCTCTCTTGTGAATCAGCCTCAAAGTGCTGCAGGAACATACAGGCTTTGGCTGCCGAATCAAAGAAGCGGAAAGTTAATGTATTACAGAAAAAACCCAGACCTTTGTCCTCAGACAACCAACACTGCCGATCAAGCACCCTTTCATGCTGGTCCTTTGCTCCCTTTGATCCTGCAGTCTTTACAGACTGTGGCGTGGAAACTGCTTTCTCCCTCCTCGCCTATGGCGAGTAAAAAATGCCTCTAGGTGAGCAGATAGAAAACATGTTTTGTAAATGAGCTTATTCTGCAGGGTCTTTTTCCCCCTCCTTCCTCGGAAACTGCTGACACACCCAACTGTTGTGAACACCCACCACGGACACTGTCCGATTACCCCGTTGCCTGGGTGGCTCAGGGCTTAACCTCCGTTTTCTAATCACTTAAAATAGGAGAATGAAATGCTGATTTTCCCTGGCAATGGGAAAAAAACCCCACAGGAATGGGGTCATCCACCAAGGGGCCTCCCTCCCAGTTATGATTTTCCCTGGCAATGGGAAAAAAACCCACAGGAATGGGGTCATCCACCAAGTTGCTACCTGGGCGAATGAAGACTTTCTCCACCGACAACATGGCGGCGATAGGGAGCAGCAAATCTTCGCAGCCTAGAGAGGCCGCCTTGAGGACAGCGCCAGTCAGATTCGGAGGCAGCGGAAACCGCACCATAAACTCGCCCAGTTTGGTCACGTGGCCTCTCCTAAATTTTGGAAGGGAAGACCAACATCAATGGGATGAGATGAGAGAGAACCACCTTTCCACTGGCAGCTAATCCAGACGTGTAAGGCTAAAGATTTAATTCTGGAAACAGCCACCAGCTCATGATATTCCACCGCCCGAAGCAAAGTGGAACGTGGTCCTTCTCACCATCCAAATCCAGCTAAGGCGAGGCCAGTTATTCTCAACCAGACCTTGGAACACTTATTTTCTAAAAAAATTCTCCAAGAGGCTTATTCATGTTGTCCATTATTTCAAAAAGTAACTTGCTACATCAATTGTCCCTAGAACATTACTTTTTCGTTATTACAGGAATGGCCAAGAATCGTTGGAAGTGACGTTCCCCCAAATGACGTTTAAGAGTTAACAGAAAAATCTGAGCAGCCGTATGAAGAAAACAGTGACGTTCCCGATCAGAACTTTGTTTTGACCTAAAAACCTGTGTTTTGAAACTAACGTCATTCCTGGTCACATGTTGGTTGCAGGGTAAGTTTTGGGAAAGTGAGGCAGGAATTCCTGCCATGTTCTTTTTTTCCTACCCCTAGCGGGAAAAATATCACCACCCATCAAGTCATACAAGGCTACCTCCTCACTTTGCCCAATGGCCCCTCAGAGGACATGTCCTTCAACTTACCTGTCAATAGCGCTGCACTGATAAAGCTGCTTCAAAGCCTCTAGGACGCGCCTCTCTTCCGGGCGGTCAAGGTACGGAAACCTAGACAGAAAATTCAAAATGCAAACAGAAACCAGTCAGAAAGCTCAGCTCGAACAAAACAAGACCTGCACGTTCAAGAGGAAACCGTTCCCTGGAGGTCCTGCACAGGATCAGAGACCGTCAGTGGGTTTTGCCCTACAAGCAGCACATTGCAAGCATCTGGAATTTTAAAATAAATCACCTCTCCTTCCATTAAACTAGCTGCTACGATGGAGTTACAACACAAGACATTTATTTTTATGCATTATTTCTGTTCAATGTTGTCTTACGTGTTCCTTATATATTCCTTTGTAAGCCACCCGGAGTAACGGTTCGCCACTAGATGGACGGGATGTGACCCACAATCGTCATCATCATCAACTGATTTTTTCCAAGGAGATTAATGTCTTTTGTGTTGTATACAATTTAGAAGGTATGATTTGAATGAATTGAAGGTATGAATTCATAGATGTGTTTTTATGTATCCTAAGGTAGACGTCTCCAACCTGACATCCTGGAGGTGCACCAGACTACAACTCCCATCATAGCACAGCATGATGGGACTTATAGTCCAAAGAATCTGGAGGACACTTGGTTGAGAATTGTAGGAATTGTGGGTTTTTTGGGGGGGGAATTTGACAAGGGTTCGACCTCTGCGTTTGGCTGTCTGCTGGGACAGTACAGTATACCTTATGACATCATGGATACCCAGGCACTTCAAAGTCAGAAGCACAGAGGTCAAGCTGGTGCGCTGGATCTCCGGCACCATGTGGTCAGGCATACACTGCTCCCAAAATGCCTCGCTGTACACCCGGTAGCATTTCCCAGAGGCGGTCCGGCCCGCTCGGCCTGCTCGCTGCAATGCTTCACTTCTGCAGACAGGAAAAGAGGCAACACGTTTTTACTTTTTGCCTTCCTGCGAACGACTAGCAGGATTTCCCAAACTGCTCCTCCAAAAGGCTGCAAAAATGCTTTTGCCATTTCCTTTAAAAAGACCTCTCTGCCTTTAGACATGCAAGTTTCAAAAGTTACAGCGCAAAAAGAAAGAGGGAGGAGGAGGGAAGAGGAAAAACAGGAACACTCATGCGCTGATTTTTAATATTATAGAGTTCTTATGAGAAAGAGTTACAATGCCACTGTATGCCAAAAAAAATAAGCCTGTCCAATGAGATGGAATATCCCACTCATGATCAGTCTGATGGAACAGCTGCAGGCACAAAGCCTGGCACAGATAAGAATAATATCCAAGCACAGCAGCATGAGGTCAAACTGCCTCCACCAGGTTCGCAGGAAATGCAATTTCATCACCAACTGAAAAGAGGATGACTCAATAGTCTTTCAAACTTACTTTGAAATGGGAACCACTTCCAACATATCCAAGCCCACACGGGGGTTATGGTTCAATTGCTTCACAAATCCGCTGTCGACGACAAACCTGAACACAAACAAGACTCATGGAATCACAGCAGGAAAGCGTGATGACGGTCTCAAAACTGTATGGCCAGTTTCTGTACAGCAGCACCAGAGTCTGCAGGCAAGAAATGGTGCCTTCATCCTCTAGATATATACATCTATGTATGCATGCATACAGTGGTGCCTCGCATTACGATGTTAATTCATTCCAGCGAAATCGCTGTAGAACAAAAATTTCGTAAAGTGAAAATTAAAAAGCCACTGAAACGCATTAAAACCTGGTTAATGCGTTCCAATCAGCTAAGAACTCACCGTCCAGCAAAGATCCTCCATAGGGGTGGCATTTTCGGGTGCCTGTGCAGCAAAAAATGGCTCCTAAACACAGCGGGGAGCCATTTTGAGCACCCGGTGGCCATTCTGAAAACCCAGCAATCAGCTGTTTTGATCGTTGGGAAGCGAAAATTGGTTCCCGAAACAGGGAACTGATCATCGTCCAGTGAAATTCCCCCATTCAAAATGTCGTTTTGCGATCGCAAAAACCTTGTCGTAATGCAGATTCATCGTTAAACGGAGCGCCCGCCTTGCGAGACACCACTGTATATGAATATATATGCATTGAGGGTGGGGTTACGCTCCTAACAATTATTTATGGAATCTGTCTCCCTAAGAGTCTGCCGCACATGTATATTATAATTATATTGATACTGTTTATCCTTATGCAAGAGTCTGCTGCACATAATGTATATTATAATTATATTGATTCTGTTTATCCTTATGCAATTGTTCTGTATTATTCACATCTGATCTGTTGATCATACAAATAAAATTTAATTTAAATTTGTACGAGGCCCTTGGGAACTGCTGGAGACAGAAATAACAAGAAAGCTGGTTCAGAGGTTTGGGGATAGGTAGGGTGCCATCAATACCGCGATGACGGGTTTTATTAATTAAGCACCGAAAAGGAACAGCTCGTACAATCCATCTATGAAATCTGATGATTTATGGGAACATTTGATCAACGAATATATGGTTATGTCCTGTCAAGTCACCTCTGATTGAAGATGACCAAATGATGCCCAAACTGTCCTGTCCGCCACAGCCCTGCTCAGCTTTTGCAAACTCAATTCTGTGGCTACCTTTAGAGAGCCAGTCCATCACATATTGATCTTCCTCTTTTCCTGCTGCCTTCCCCAGCCTTACGAGGAAACAGCACTTAGTGTTAATGCGTCCAATTCACTTCGGCTCTGCTCTGCAACTATTAACGAACTGGCTTGCTACAATTTGTTCATTAATTTTCTGAAAACTAGATTTATTTCTGTATTATTCACATCTGATCTGTTGATCATATAAATAAAATTTAATTTAATTTAAATTTGTACGAGGCCCTTAGGAACTGCTGGAGACAGAAATAACAAGAAAGCTGGTTCAGAGGTTTGGGGATAGGTAGGGTGCCATCAATACTGCGATGACGGGTTTTATTAATTAAGCACCGAAAAGGAACAGCTCGTACACTCCATCTATGAAATCTGATGATTTATAGGAACATTTGATCAACGAATATATGGTTATGTCCTGTCAAGTCGCCTCTGATTGATGGCAACCGTATGACTGAATGATGTCCAAACTATCCTGTCCTCCACGGCCCTGCTCAGCTTTTGCAAACTCAATTCTGTGGCTTCCTTTAGAGAGCCAGTCCATCATATATTTGATCTTCCTCTTTTCCTGCTGCCTTCCCCAGCGTTACGAGGAAACAACACTTAGTGTTAATGCATCCAATTCACTTCGGCTCTGCAACTATTAATGAACTGGCTTGCTACAATTTGTTCATTAATTTTCTGAAAACTAGATAATTTTTTAATCAGTCCACTGAGGATGATACTCCAAAATTCACCCTCTCCTTTTCATGTGGCCTTGGGGGAAGCCATAAAAGTTCTGAATCAAGCTCAAAGATCTGAGATTGACTGGACATTGTCTTTAAAAAGTACTACATCCAGGTAAAAACCTAAGTAAGGTTGGGGGGAGAGGGGAAATTCGGAATATTAAACCCAAATCCAAGCTATGTCTTAATATCCTGACTTGTTTCAAAGTTGCTAACTGTTGCTTCCTGAGGAAAAGGGGAAGCTGTTGAATTTGAGTCCTCTCGGTTTAATAGCTTGCACTCCCCAGATGGGAGAGGATTAGGAAATCAGGGGGGGGAGTGCATTTTTTTAAATGAGTCACCATTCTCAAGAGTCGTGGGGCGGCATGGGAGAAGTCCAGATTCATGTCCTCCTTGGGCCACGAAACCCACCAATCCTCTCTCGCTTAGTGTTAATGCATCCAATTCACTTCGGCTCTGCAACTATTAATGAACTGGCTTGCTACAATTTGTTCATTAATTTTCTGAAAACTAGATAATTTTTTAATCAGTCCACTGAGGATGATACTCCAAAATTCACCCTCTCCTTTTCATGTGGCCTTGGGGGAAGCCATAAAAGTTCTGAATCAAGCTCAAAGATCTGAGATTGACTGGACATTGTCTTTAAAAAGTACTACATCCAGGTAAAAACCTAAGTAAGGTTGGGGGGAGAGGGGAAATTCGGAATATTAAACCCAAATCCAAGCTATGTCTTAATATCCTGACTTGTTTCAAAGTTGCTAACTGTTGCTTCCTGAGGAAAAGGGGAAGCCGCTGAATTTGAGTCTTCTCGGTTTAATAGCTTGCACGAAACCCACCAATCCTCTCTCAGCCTGGCCTACCTCACAGGACTCTTGTGAGGATACAAAATAGTGGGAAAGAGAAGGAGATCCACTACCATTGCTTTGTAGAAGATAGTCAGGGACATGAAAGTAACTTATTTTAAAAAAAAAAACATAAATAAATACATCATCCACAAAGACTAGTCTATAAGCAACCCAGACAAACCAGAGAGGTTCCTCTTTTGTCAGTTTCATTGATGATGATACCTAATGTATTTATAACATTTGATTCATTTCATTAAAAACCCACAAACGAACCCGCAGAGGGAGATTAAGAGATTGTAAAGAGCTGAGAGCCAGTGCTTTATGATCCACGGAGCGAGTCTCGGGCAAGCAATGTAGGAAAAGAAATGCCCTCCTTATTTGAGTTGACAAAAGCTATAAACCGGCACCAGGTTTTGTAACAGATTCTGTGCCATCGTGGCTTCCTCACACAGCCCAAATGTGAACGGTCAGGTTTTCCTTAAATCCTACATGCCAGATTTTGGCATAGCCATGAATAACGGCAATGCCTCTCCCGGCTTCCTAATCAAGATGATCTTGGACTGACACATATGTGTTCCAGTTTGCCCACAAGGCTCCTGTTTCAAGATCTCAGTGGCTCTCTGGATCAAAACCTGCAGAACAACTCACCCGATTCCCTCGATAGTCAAAGAGGTAGCGGCAATGTTGGTGGCCACCACACATTTTCTGATCCCTGGGGGAGGTGGCAGAAATATCCTCCGCTGCTGATCTAGGGAGGGGGAGAGAAAGAGAGAAAGAAAAAGAGAGAAACAGCAAGATTTTATGTCAAGCTTAGCCAGAACTCAACAATATAACTAACATGCTTATTTAATTTATATGCTGCCCAACTGTTGAATTCACGCTGAAATAAACAAGCCTACCTGTCGGCATCGATCCAAACTCAACAATATAACTAACATGCTTATTTGTTTACTTATTTAATTTATATACTGCCCAACTGGTGAATTCACACTAAGAGAAACAAGCCTACCTGTCGGCATTGATCCGTACAACGGCAGGATGAGCAGTCCTTCGACGGAGCTGTCCCTCACATCGAAGCGATAATCGATGGCCTCAGCCTTTTGGAAAAGTAACTCACAAGTTCTCTCGATTTCAGACTGGCCTAAAAGCGACAAAGGACACAAGGGAGGCCCCATCCATGATTGTGCCTCAGCCAGAAAAGCCCCACCACACTCAGAACTTATGTCGTGTTTTCCTCTTCCCTCCCCATCCCATCTTCCTCTCATGATGTGAGGGGAGTGTCCCTTCCTCCCTCCCTCCCTCTAAGTACTATGTAACTCACTAGGAGAGCCTTTCCTGATACACAGTAGGGGATAACCACTGCAAATAAACTAATGTGTTAAAAATGAATACATATTGTTATCTGACAAGGAAGTAGCTCAGAAACTCTCCAGCTGAGAGCCTCCTCTTCCTCAGCAAACCCTTGTGCTACAGTCTTCTTAATATTGGGATCCACGACAGCTGCGTTGCACAAGGCCGTCACGGCCAAGTTTTCAACCCAGAAGGAAGCGCTCACCAGTCAGAAACACCAGGATGTCTCCCGCCGCACCGTTCAAGTGGACGTCCAAGGTGACTTTGACGGTCTGAAACGAGCAGCATTAACAATATTATTAGATGGGACGCTCCAATTAGATCATCTTTCATATAAAAGGCTGGAAGGAATTTCCCCTCCCATTCAGACGGGCCCGCAGCAGAATTAAATTTTTTTAAAGCCTTGTGGCTTTTGCAGCCCAAGCTCCGGAGCTTTGCACCCTGCGCCGATCTTTCTAAAGCCCCAAAACCTTCAGACATGTCAGAACGCTCAAAGGCTTTCTGTTCGTGACCGGCTGGCTGAGAGGGTTTTTCTTAACATTCTTTGGAATGTGGCTTTGGTATTGACGTTGTTGCTGTTTTCAGGGGGATATCAGTTTGATTCTTTTAAAATACTGCATACTTGCTGCTTTTTCAGCTTTGAAATATCATCTTTTACTGGTGTAAGCTGCCTTGGCTCCCCTTTTTAAGGAGAAAGGCAGGGGTAAAAAAACGTTTTAAAGAAATAAATACAAATATAATCCCCTAGCTGCTAAATGGGGGGAAAATACACATATGAACTCTTCTACTCAAGAGACTACAGTGGACCCTCTACTTACAGAATTAATCCATATTGGAACGGTGGCTGCAGGTCGAAAAGTCTGTAGGTCGAGTCTCCATTGACCTACAATGCATTGAAAACCGATTAATCCTGAAATCGGCCATTTTTGTTACATTTTGTTTTGTTTTTTTTTCTGGTCTGTAGGTCGATTCTCCGGCTGTAAGTCAAACCTAAATTTTGCGGCCGGAGAAGTTTGTAACTTGAAAAGTCTGTAAGTCGAGCCGTCTGTAAGTCGAGGGTCCACTGTAGGTGTTTCTGGCCAACCAGTTATAACTGGATTAAAACTCCCATCATCCCCTACTATTGGCCATGTTTAGCAAGGGCTGGTGGGTTCTAAAGTCTGAAATATCTGGAAGTCAAAAGTTCCTCACTCCGATCAGAGACCACATTCCACATTCATCAAATTAATGCAGGAACTGGCATTATATTCGTCTTGGAGAAGTTACTATTTTGGCAACGACCTCCAGAATATGGAGGTTGAAGTACCCAAACACAGTAACTTTTCTAAGCTCTGTAAGGACACGCCAGACCTGTAAATAGGACATGAAGTGGCTAAGAAGCATGCCCTGCCAGAAAAACCCTTTACACCAATCAACTTTCACCCTTCCTACAGAAGAGACAGTTCTCTCTCAACACATCTGGCCTGATCTTGGCCCACAGGCTTCCAGCTCCCAACCACTTTAAAAAAAAGCAGCTCTCTGTGCCCCTTCCAAAAAATGCAAGGCAACACACACACGCACCTCTGTGACGTACGAAGAGCTGCTGGCATCCCGGGGCCCTAAAAGACCGCAGAAGATCTCCTTGACGGGATAAGTCCTCCCGGGGATTTCCACCACCAAGCAGCCATCGAAGAACTCTGAGAACTTCTCCGTGTCCAACGTGGCCGACATGACCACGACCTTCAGGGGAGACTTTCTCTCCAGTGGCTTTCCCTTCTGGAACAGCTGCTTCAGCAAACCAAACAGGATATCCTAGGACAGAAAGAAGAGCAAAGAGTACAGGGCTGAGGTCTCAGAAATCAAAGAGGACTTGGTGGCCTGGGATCAAAGAGCCACAAATAAATGGTAAGAGACCGGAATCTCAAATAGCTAAAGATCAGATTTTCCCTCTGCTTGATTTAGGTCACTGTGAAACTGAAGTACAGCTTATTCAAGCCTTATCCACTCACGTATCAAAGCTGTGTTCCTTGTGATCCAGAAAAAAAGAGGGACATAAAGCTGGACCCATACATTACTCAGAAAACAAGCTACAATGGGCATTTTGCTTTCTCCATCCATGCCAGAAAGAACAGTTATAACAGCACTGTGACGAAAAGCTAGCACCTAAGTTTATTTTTTTTCCCCCTTCTCCCTCCCCATCTCTTTTTCCTTTTGTATCATGTGTTGCTAGACCGCAATCTCTCAGGGCAGAGGCCATCTATGTAGGGGATTCTCGGAGCCTTACTTCAGGCAGCTTTCAGACCAAGGAGACTAGCCAGTTGGTGCTGGTCTTTGCAACCTGGTCACCCAGAAAGAATTTCTGCTCGCCTCGGGTGAATGGTTCTTTACAGCCTGGCTCCACCCACCGTGCTCAGGCTCCTCTCATGGGCTTCGTCCAGGATCACAACGCTGTATCTGGTCAGAAGTGGGTCTGCTAAAATCTGCCTCAGCAAGCAGCCGTCGGTCATGTACCTGATGGAGGTTTCCTGCAGTTTTGAAAACCAAACATTCAGTTAGAGGACATTCTTGGGTAAAAGGATTAAAGACGAGCCCCCGCCTATCAAACAGAATTATTTCGCACAACCCGTTCTGATGTGTACCTCGGAGACACACTCGTCAAAGCGGACCTGGTACCCCACAATGCTTCCTAGAGGGCAGCTCATCTCTTCCGCCACCCTCTGGGCCACGGAGATGGCAGCCATGCGCCGTGGCTGCATCACGGCAATCGCACCCTGCTTGGTGAAACCTGTGAAAAGAAAAGGGGGGAGAGAGAGAAAGAACAGTTCCATCAAGTTCCAATTTCACAAATTGAAGGAGAGGACAAGAAGGGCATTTTCTCATTGATGCTTTTGCCAACCTTGGGCAGTTTGTTGGTGCTTCCTTTTTGCACGAGTGGATGGTGCAATGTGACAATCCACAGGCAGATAACAAATTGACCTCTAGTGTATTACTGTTGTTGTTGTTGTTGTTGTTGTTGTTATAACCCCGCGTTTCTCCTAGTAAAGGCAGCTAACAACACCGAAAGACAATATTCTAAGCTGAAAACACGGAGTATACAAGCGTGGTTAACACCATTAAAAGATAATATTTTAAGCTAAGAAAAATGAATAAAGCAGCATCTTACCTCATTAAAAAGCAATATATTAAAAGCTAAGAAGAGTAAGCATACCATTGTTTTTTTAAATGTAAGAGCGCTGGCAGGGGATTCTGGGCATTGTAGTCCCAAGGGGACCGTTCCCACGCTTTTACTGGAAACCAGGAGGCGCACTCGCAGTCATTTCTAGGAATAATGGCAATATTTACCTTCTTCAAATAAATATTTGGGAAGCTGGGTGGTTTTCCCGCTTCCGGTCTCGCCTGTGACCACCAGAAAAGGATTTCCCCGGACAGCTTCTACTAATTTCCTCCGATATTTGCATATAGGCAAAGCGGAGCAGCCCCAATCTGGTTTACACGCTTTTCCCCCCAATTCGGATCGGCGACCGGCTTGTTCTTCCCGGCGCTTCGCCATGCCTGCGGCGCGCGCCTGTGACGTCACGCCCTTCCCCGCGAAAGCCCCGCCCCCCCGCCTCCGCCGCCTGTTTGCAGACCTGCCTCGTTTCCCTCCCAGCTGGAGAATTCTTAGCTCTCCAGATGTTGTTGGACTCCATCTCCCATCATCCCCTACGACGATGGGACACGTGGCCTGAGCGGAGAACTACAAAAAAAAAACCCTGGAAAGCCATACAGCCCTCCGGTCCCCAGATGTTCTTAAAACTAAAACTCCCATAAAAGTCTGGCTAAGGCTTCTGGGAGTTGTAGTCCAAGAACACCTGGAGGGGGCGGGACCCAATATTGGGAACTCCTGCACTAGAACTCCCAGAAATCCTGGCCAGCACAGCTAGTGATGAAGGCTTCTGGGTGTTGTAGTCCAAGAACATCTGGACTATATATATTGGATCACACGCACATATTTCTCACTGCCTCTATCCTGTTGGCCCAATAAATATGTACAGCACTGCAATATGGATTTTTTAAAAAAAATTTAGCCTAGTATCTTGGTGCACAGAGTCCAGTAAGTACCTGAAGGGGGCAGACAAGCAACAGATTTGAAAGCATGGATCTAAAAATTAAATATATCCGACACAAACAAACACAGCATTTTCCACACCATCCTAGATGCGTCTTCTAAGAAGTCTTACTTCTCTGTGAACATTGATCAGAAACATGTACATGCTTTAATATCAGTTATTATAACACCATATTATTAGGTCGATTACCTTTGTTACCATCATCACCTTTGTCGTTGCTGTGGTATGCATGTTTCTTAAGCAGCCTTCTTTTTTTAAAAAAGTAAGAGCTGTCGAACAAAAATATGCAAAAGTTACAAAATAAACACAAACTATTTTAAGCCAAAGTTGCAAAGTTCCAAAGATGAAAAGGGAAATCATGGCCAATATCCACAAATGTATGCCGTGTAATTTGAATGATGCTGTCAATTCAGCCAGTAAATTTGATTTACTTTAATTGAAAGCTTTCTGTCTCCCCCTTCTGGCTGCTGGAGGCTCCCTCGGGTTCCCTTTTGCCCCGAGGAAAGCCTTTGTGAGCCTCAAGATGAAGAGGAAGTTTTTAATACTGGAAAAATTGTTGTCAAATTATGATTTTTTTTAATTCATTTGATTTCAAATATTTTTGCCCCACCTTTCTCCTTAAGCAGCACCCAAGGCATTATATTGTCATTAAAAGACAATGTGAAAGTTAAGAACAGTGAACAAGCAAATGCTAAAAAAAAGGTCGAAAAATGGCATAAAAAACATAAGCAATACCATAACACATTCAAAGCAGAATTGCACAAACACGTCATTTGAAAACCCCACTCAGGCTGCCAGTTATTAAAAGAAAACCTGAAGGGAAAGGTCTCTTTGCCTCCTTGCAGAAGGAGAGCCAAGATGGGGCCAGCCTGGCCTCCAGTGGGAGGGAGTTCCAAAGTCCAGGAGCAGCCACAGAGAAGGCCCTATTCCATGTGCCCACCAAACATACCTGTGAAGGTGGGGGAAAGCCTCCCCTGATGATCTTAACACCCAGGCAGGCTCATCACGAGAGATGTGGTCCTTCTGATAACTTGGACGCAAGCCGTTTAATGTTGCAAAAGAGGTGTTTTGTTTAATGCCAGGGTAAAAACACAATAAACTCCAGATTTAAATAACATTTAAACATAGAATAATAGTTTGAAAACTGGTGATTGAAAAACACTTTAGAAGCACATCCTTAAAAATAACCAATGTGCAAAAATGCAAATGGATAGCAAGTATAAAATAAGCAATAAACCCACTAAATTGGACACATAGTTCTTTAAAAAAAACACAACCGAGCTAATTGTTGGGGTTTATTTCCATGTAACAATGCAACACACACACACACCCCAGGAGATGCTTCTGTTTGAGTCTCAGCTTCTTTCCCCAGCGGGCTCCTGCCACCTTAAAATATGCATGAGCTGATGAATCGGGGCATTAAACGATTTCCTGATTAATGAGAGACGCGGCCATCCAGCTGTTCCCAAGCTGCCATATGCAGAAGGAACCAGGTAAAGTCAGATGCCATGCTATGGGGGCTCAGCTTTATTTCCCCCCCCCCCCCCCCAGGATTTATTCATACCTGACTGCTGGGCTCGGATTTGCACAAATGAACCTGGACATTTTTTGGGCAATTAGATGCAGATAATTAAACAAGCCAACGGGCAGATGTCGGCGCTTTTGAAAAAGCCACATGTCACAGATGACGGGTTTTCGAAACACTGCGGTTCCTGGGCAAGGATCCGTGATCCCAACACGGTTTATATCAAAGGACATCAAACGGGCCAAAAAAGTTATAAATGGTGCAGAAACAAGAGACCTGAAAAGTTTGGGGTGCTTTCTGGGCCCATGGAAATGTACAAACCCTTGATGTTTTTTCAGAGTAGAAAAATAAATTTGGGGATTCGATGATGCAGAGATGGAGCAAAGATGGTTTATATAATGTACCAGCAAACTGGGACCAGGGCTTGGAGGGGGGGGGAATATAGCTTTTTGGACTACAACACCCAAAATCCCCTCCACTGGTGAATGGGGTTTTGGGAACTGTAGTCCAAACCAGACTATTTTTCTAGACTCAGATTGTGGCCGTGGCATTGGTGAACAACAACACAAATTTTCTATCAAAGGGCACCTGAAGAGGCCAAAATGCACACACACAAACGCACACACACACACACTTGACATGCACAGATGGGTTTCTGTAGAAATCCTTCTTTCCAATTAAATCAAAAAGCTTCCGAGTTCCTGACAGGCTCTTCTCTCTCCTTTCCCAGCCAGCCTGACAGCTCCGATCATGCTGACGGGTGCCGAGCGAGCGAGCGTTGGGTAGCCGTTCTCGTTGAGGCTTCTGTGCTTCAGGCTTGGTATATCATTGTGTCAGGAAGACAGGGAGACATCTCTGTCCTTCATGCCTTCACAAAACAGCAGCATCTGGACAGAGAAAGCCAATGATCTGTTAAGCAATTTTTTTAAAAAATGATTTTTTTTATTGTAGGGGTGGGGGTTGTGGGGGGGAACTTGTTTTTTGTTCTGTTTCTGTTACTGTTCATTCACAACTGACTCCTTCCAGGGCAGGATTCCAAGCCCCTGCAAGCTCCTTCTTGTTCTTGTTGTTGTTGCTGTTGCTGCTGTTGCTGTTGTTGTTATTAAGCAGATTTTTGTTGTTGTTGTTATATTCTATTATTTTTATTCTTAATAGTAGTAAGCAGCACATTATTATTGCTATTATTATTAACCAGTATTTTAATATTATTGAGCAGCACATCATCATCATCATCATCATCATTATTATTATTATTATTATTGGAAAAGTTACTTTTCTGGACTACTGAAAGAAAAAGAAAGACATCTAAAGAATTCCCAGAGCTGCTATCCAGAAAAACCACATTTTTTTCCACCTTCTGGTCCAAACCCTCCCCTGCCAAGCACACACCAGTTAAGAACCTCCAAATGTCTCGCCTTAATTGAAAGGGGCCGTCCTTAATTATCGCAGGCATCCGAGTTTAATCAAACTATCAAGCTGTGGAGCCCCAGGGGGAGCCAGAAAGCCACTGAAGGAAAGTGTGAAAGTCATGCTAGGTTTCTCCTGGGCAACGACTCCTCTTAGCTTTATTTTTAAACTTCTGTGTGTGTGTCTCGGTCGTGGTTGTCGGCCACTTGCATTTGGCCGGAGGGGGCTGCTTTCGAAATGGGAGGAGGTCAACAACGCAACCCATCTGGCCTCAAAATGATGGCCACCCACGAACCTTTTAGCTTGGCCTGTTCCTGCGTCTCAACTTGAAGGCCTCCTTCTGCTGAACAGCAAAGCACAGGTAAAATTCTAGAGGTTAAAAATGAAATAAAATAAAACACCAGCCTTCTCCTCTCCCAGATCTTGGGTCGGTGTAGTTCCGATCCGTCCGCACTGGCCTAAGGGGAACATCTGGCCGATGTGCCCCCCCAGATGTTTCCTGACTCACCCGGCAGCCCTCCTGCTGTCCTCTGCCGACAGAGTGGGATTTGACCGCTGGGTTGACCTGCGTAGAATTGAGCTGTGCTTTGCCGGCATGAAGCCTGGGGGGGAAAGCTGGAGGCAGTGGGAAAAGAGGAGGGCGGGATGTGAGATGGATGGACTTCACCAAAGAAACCCCAGCTGCGTGTTTGCAAGACCTGATCCGGGCTGTGAAGGACAGGACCCGATCCAGGGCTTCCTTCAGAGGTAGGCGAGCACAAGCTGAAGCCTTTACGCCTGGCACATCCTGATATTTTTGGCCCTTCGTCTCACACTCCTAACTTCGCTCCACGGCGAAGGGGCTTATTTTTGGGAGGTAGGGCTTATATTAGGAGCATCCTGAAAAATCGTAATAGGCCTTTATTTTCAGGTTAGGTCTTATTTTCAGGGAAAACAGGGTATCACATAGAAAAACAGGTGGCATCTCAAAATAGCAATCCTCCCATTGTTTTTCTTACAAAAATTAAGGGATTGATTTAAAAAAATCTCATGGCCAACAATATAACTATATTTTTAATGCAAGAGAAGGTCGTGACTTGTGGAAATCTCACCCCCTAGAGGCCATAAGGGGGATTTTTAAAGAGAATTCAACAGAATTCCTGCCTCTAAAACTTAAGTTTCTGGGAATATTGGAAGGAGTCATGCCCAATGGAGTCTATATTGCCCACCCCTGCTTTAGAGTATAGGTCATTCATAGCTGGAGCAAACGGCTACCTGATTAATTTTTCTTGGGGGGGGGTCTTCCCAGCTGAAAACAGGGAGCAAAGGAAACCGATCCCGGGAGGTTGCACATGCAAAATGAGCGCTATGTCACTGAGCTTTCCAGGAAGGACATCGGATCCCAGGGTGCTTTTTTTCTGCTTGTCTCTTTTGAAAGGCACCGTGCACTTACAAAAGCGAATTCCCTCTGTACACCTGTCGTGGCGACAGCACCAAGCCGAAATCTTCCTGTCTCGACGCGTCAGGCTGTATAAATATCTTCCTCTGATC